GCTGTTGGGGGGGGGGGGAGAGACCATGCAGATCTGTCCTCGCAGAGAAGGGAGAGCTTGTACCTGAATAAAACTTCGTCTTAAAGGTGCGACTGGACTGTTTTGAACTGGGGGGGCTCTGCAACTTACCTGGCTGAGGGCTGCTGGGAGCAGGGGGTGGGGCTTGTTGCATGTGCCCGCCCCCTGGGCTCTTTACTGCTGGAGCTCCGCTCCTGTGCGCTCCTGCAGGAAATGACCCCTGCAGCTATCCCACTACTTAGGGTGGTTCATCTGGCATCGACCAAGGCCTGGGCCTATTCCATTGTGATTCCAGCTCTGTGGAACGTAGGGTGGTCACCAGCTCCAGGTTGAGAAATAACTGGCGATTTGGGGGGTGGAGCCTCAGGAGGGCGAGGGGTTGGGGAGGGGAGGGCGTTCAGTGCCTTCAGCCCACCTTCCACCCACCTTCCAAAGCGGCCATTTTCTCCAGGTGACATGATCTCTGTCTCCGGGAGATCAGTTGTAAGGGTGGGAGATCTCCAGCCGCCACCTGGAGGTTGGCAACCCAAGTGGAATGGGCTTCCTGAAGATGTAGGCGGGCATCTCCTTGGAGCACTACAGAAGGCACTGTCTGTTTGCCAAGGTTCTTGAAGGTGCTTGAATTGGCAGGCATCTTTTAAGAGCGGGGGGAGAGATTTGAGGGTGGGGTTTACTGTTTAGTTTTTGGGTTTAGCTGGGGATGTTTTAATTATTATTGTAAGCCGCTTTGGCCCTCGAGGAGGAGGAAGAGGAGGAGGAGGAGGAAGAAGACGAAGAAGAAGAGGAGGAGGAGGAGACTGGATTTATACCCCGGCTGGGGTCTCAGAGCGGCTTACAAACTCCTTTCCCTTCCCTTCCCCACAACAGACACCCTGTGAGGTAGGTGGGGCCAGGGCCAGATTTAGACTTGCTGAGGCCCTAAGCTATACAAAACCCAGAGGCCCCCTACTGTTTTAAATTACATCAGCTGGTCTCAGAAAAATTTAAAATATATACGCCTTTTTAATATTTGAAATCATTTTTATATTGTGTTTTTATTTGAGGCCCCAGCAGATTGCGAGGCCCTAAGCTGTAGCTTATTTAGCTTATGCGTAAATCCAGCACTGATTTGCAGGGAATGCCAATTGACAGCAGACTCCTTGACTGTACGATGTGGGGGATCGGTTGACCTCAGCCCAGTGGGATCCATCACTAGACCTGCCTCAGAGGCGTGACTTCAGACCCTTACTCATCCACAAGCCAGGTACCCCTAGGAAAGTAGAAATCTCTTCTGCTGGCAGGAGGAGGGAATTTGGTTCCAATCCTATATCATTAATTGTAATAATCTCTTCATGTCTTGCCTGCAGACTACAACTCTGTCAGGAGCAAGCTGCTTTTATCTTTCTTCCTCCCAGACTCTCTCCCTCCCACTACGTTCTGTATGTTACACAATGGGACCTCTGATTTCCAGGAGCTGCCAGCCGTTTTTGTAACAAATAATGTTAAATCGTAGTAATCACTTAGTGGCCTGAAGTGAGGGAAATCATGCTAAGGGCCTGCTTGGTGCAGAAAGTCTGCTAGGGTGATCATTACCAAAGCTGTCTTGTTCAGAGTGGAGTGTCTTCAGGGAGAGGGCGGGGTTTGGGGAGGGGAAGGGCCTCAGCATGGTACAATGCCATACAGTTGACCCTTCAAAGCAGCCATTTTCTCCAGGGGAGCTGATCTCGGCGGGAGATCAGTTATAAAAGCGGGAGATCCCCAGGCCCCACCTGGAGATTGGCAACACTAGTCCGGCATCATGTGTGTCCAGGGAAGGCCATGTGATAGGAGGGAGAGGACAAAGTGAGGGAGAGAGAGGAGGGGTCAGAGGGCAGCCCCCAGGTTAAGACAAAGAGAGGCCTCCCACTCCATGAGACAACACTTATACCCACTTAGGCTGTGGTCACATGGTCATTTTGATCAGGTTTCACCACAGTTCCCTATCGCATTTAGAACTGCTGATCAGGCGGCCACATTCGTCCTCCATATCAAAGTGGGCTCACTCTCTCAATCCTCCCCGTTTCGTACCGAATTCTCCAACACCTGGAAAATCAAGTACTTTCCGGATATTTGAGCTGTGAATCTGCAATTTCGCCAATCTGGACAGCCATCTCTCGCTATGATTGCGATTAGGTCGTCTGACCTTCTTTCTTTTTTTCTTTTCTTTTTTTCAATTAATTTTTTATTTTAAAACAGCAATACATACATATTATTACCATATTCAACAAAAAAAATTTCCTTCTTGCTTTAACAATAAAATAACAAGTTGGATAAGTTACATTGTTTTACTTTACAACAAATCCTATATTTGCCTTGTACCTATATACTATAGAGTGGGTACTGTGTAACTATTTTTAACTTCTTTTAGAATAGGAAATCCAACCTTACATCAACCTCCAATAACCCATGTAATATAACACTAAACAATATGCATAAGAGAAGAGACAACTTTCACAACATTGAAGAAGATAGACAAAGACAAGGACAAGATTCTATGAAATTCACGAACTATTGTTGTTATATCCATTTGTGGTATTGAGACCATTCGGGTGAAATGAACTGTTTGAGAGCCAAGTAATCAAGTACTGGGAACCATTTTTCTGTAAAAGTGGATTTTGTGGGATTTTGCGACAGATAATTTAATTTGATGGTGACCGCGTCCATTAAATAGTGACCCCATAATTTTTTGTACCATACTTCTATTTTGGGCGCTGTTTTCTCCTTCCAATAAGGAGAAAGTCTTATGAG